TCTCGTTGCTGTCCTTCCCAGTCGGTTCCTCGCTTTCTCCCTCCTTGCACTTAAGGTTCTTGGTCTGAAAACTAAAAATTCTCGCGCCGAAGGGGTCAACCAGCCCAGTTCAGCTCGTCGCCACCTGCTCCCTCCTCCTTTGATGGCGAAGCCAGGTTACTGAGGCAATGCAGCGCCCTCTAGCCAACCTAGGGCCGTGTACATAGTTCCCGTCCACCTTCTGACGGTGTCTGCCTCCGCGCACAAAAAATGAGATGGGCATCGCTGCCTACGCCGACGGCCAGAGGCCCGCGCATCTACATTTTTTCGCCTGACCCCATCAGTGCCGACCCAACTACACCACCACGCGCATGCCTCGCGGCGGATATGCGCAGCAGCAAGAAGGTTTCGGTCATCCCTTGAGGGTGAGTCTAGCCCTGCTCGCCAGAAAGACCCCCCCCTTCACTACAACCCATGTCTAAGCAAAAGCTTGTCGAGGAGCGAGGGGAAGAAGGGAGTTACTATACCTGCCGTTTTTAGCCGACGTTCCGCCTAAGGTCATTTTTCGCCCTCCAGTCCCGAGACTTGATAAATATGATTGCGTGCCCAAGCTTCAATGTGTGGTCTTTGTTTCATTTTGCCCTCTTACCGCGTGCCGCCGGCCGTTGTGGCAAAGAGGAGGCGGTGTTGCTTCCAACGGAAACCGTTCCGTTACAATCTGTTGTCCCCTTGTCTGCCCCCCCCCCCCATTAGCGGCAGCAGCAACGGCGGGCAAATTATATTCTTTTCTCCCTTGCATTGAAAAGGGGGTGATGGATGCCCACGACACAATCAGCGCGATTGATTGAGGCGGCAGTGTGCAGCAAGTCACCCAAGAGAACGTGATTGCGTACTCGGGGTGTAATTGCTGTGCTGCTGGCGCGCCCTGAGGGGTACATCCCCGTGATGTATTGTGTAACCCTCAGACGGAATCGTTCTCAGTGAAGATCTATCTAGACGACTATTTTAGACGGTCTTTCTGATTAGGCGTCCAATGATGACCTCTCCTGCGCGTTTGTCCTGTGTGTCCTCGGCGGCTACCCGCCCGCACACGTTGGTTGATTTATCCGCAATCACACGTATGACATATGTTCCACCCTACTCGGAACATTGCACCCTGTACTGCTGTGCTGAGGTTGGTGGAACATGTTTCGGCTATTTTTTCGGGTGCCGCTGGTTTGTGGCGGGCACCGCTTTGTGAACACGCAAGGCGCCCGAGTCAGTTGGACCAGTACGGATATTTGAAGGTACTACTGAGTTCGAGACCGTACCGAATTATTGTGAAGAAGAAAACAACCAACTGCTGGAACACGGCGCCGCAAGACAGGAATCTAAATGTTCTAGCTCATGTGTTCACACGCCCTTGTTCTTTCGTTGGTTTCTGTAGGCATGTCGGGAAACCATCGGTGCAACCATGATGCCGGTCGGGAGAGAATAAACTCATCACCTACCTTACGCAGATGCGTATGCATACAATACCTGGTACAGATTTCTAGGCTCAAGCCTTTCTCGGTCGAACGTTCGTAGAGGTACTACACTTGGTAAATAGTATTTAGGTGTCGTGTACAGCTGTGGAACGGCTGTTGTTGATGATCTGCAGAGGAAATCAGCCTCGAGCAAGAATGCTTGCATGGTGCTATAAGCCGTGGAGGTACTACGTGGAGGAGAGGGATATTGCTGGCTGTGGGAAACAACCACCTACGCTAGAACATCCGTTTTTCGATTAGCTCTCAGGCCACTCCTACTGTAGTAATACCATTCAAAGCAGATGTTTTGTTTGTGGATGCCGCGGCGCCAAGCAGCAGCAGCGGCGCCACATTGCAGTGAGGTGCTTGGAACTGATAGAGGACTAGTGCTGCTGTTGCACTGTAGTTTGGACTGGGACAGAACGCAGCGGATCATATGTCAGCTTATTCATCTTCCGCCCACAAGGCGAAAGCGTCTTCCACGAAGCGGCTCTCGCCCGTGTGTGGGCTAACTAAAACGAGTGTTTTGTGTCTACAATAGCTACAACGTGTCCCGATTTTTTTACTTGGTGGCCGCGTCGCGCCAACCCTGTCCGTGGGCACAGCAGTAAAAATACAAAGTTGTGTGCTGTTTTTTTGCGGCTGCACAAAGGCAGATGATGTCCGGATACAGAAGCGTTCACCCATTTGTGTGAAACACACTTAACGAGTCAACACCCAGGCTCACATTTTGTATTCAACATAACGTGGCATTCAGGCGCTTGGCCGTTTTAGTTTTTATTCACGGGGGTTGTAGTGCAACAAACAGAATGCGTGCTAAATAGTTCTTGTATCTTGAACCCTTATTTTATAGGCTGGAGTTTAGACTACTTGCTGGCGTGTGGTGCTGGCTGCATGTTGCTGCGGACCGAATTTTTTTCGCTCGTCGACCGCCTTTCAACTTACCCCCCGACACCGCGTGCACGAAGGCGACTGGGAGCTCTAATCGAAGACCCCTTCGAAGGCTACTGGGCTATCGTGGGAAGGGCGTCGTGATCGATACTCTTCATTCAACCGGTTATCTGATTGACGGCGTCTGTGCCCTCCCCCCTCCCCCGCCGCGCGCGCGCGCGCGTTTCTGCATTTTTGTCTACCAGGCGGATGCATGCGAGGAACGGTTGTGTGCGAAGAGGCGGACGTGGCGGGATCTTTCGAGGGTGTGGAGATGACCATTCACCACCGTCTGACGCTCAGCGGCACCGCCAGGGTCGGGGGCAAGGTAAGATTAAGAATCATCGTTATTGGGTCGGGACCGCGCCGTGCGTCCACCTACCATCCGTCAGCTGGTGGCGTTTGTCAGAGGTCCGTGTTCAAGGCCGCTAAGGAGCACTGATTTTGGTATAGAAAATAAGAAATGGTTGAAGGAAAAACAGTGCTGCTGTTCAAGGCCTTTGGATCGGGCACCCGGCGCTATTCAGAGCATGAGACGCCTTGAATATTTCATCTGGGTGCCAGGCGATTTCACAGGCGATTTCACCGGCCCGAAACAGGGCAACCGACCTCAAAAATTCGGCCTCAAACAGGGACCTCCGCAGAGCTCCCCTCGTGAAACGTGTAGCCAGCCTGCTTCTCACTGTCTCGCGCGGTACCCTGGGACCTCGGCTTTGGAATCCTAGGATGCCCTTGCACCACCTCCCCCAAACCCTGCATTTTTTCCTCCACAGGACACACGCCCAACCTATGCGGTAGAGACGGGACTCAAATGAGAACTTGGGGGCATGCAACATACGCTCGTGCATGTCTGCGTTTTTTTCTTGTCTGAAAGGAATGTGGTCCTATTTCAGTCGACTGCTTATCCACGAATCGGGTATCGCCACGGGAGGGGAGACGCGGAAAGGAGAGAAGACCAATCGCGACTAGTCCCGTTTGTGTGTGTCAAGGTGTCTCGTCCTTTATATTTTGAAAGACATTCGGCGGACGACCTATTAGTGGTTGTAGCTCGAGGCATTCATTCCTCCAGCCTCAACTACTACTGCTGCTGCTACTGCTGCATCACGTCAGACGCTCGGGCGTTTTTTTTATGTCTTCGGGGTGCTGTAGGCAGATTGCTTGGTCGCAACAACGGTGGCGCGCGCGCGCGTGCGGGTGGCCTGATTTGTCTCTTTTTTGTTTAGTTTCTTCTGTGTCCTATCGCACACACGTCGGATCGATCCTGACCGTTTGTAGTGGAACGGACGGCGACCGCTGAGCTTGCGACGGTAGGGATTGCTGTACCCCCCCGCCGCCCTTTTAGCGTCAATATCACCGTTCCACAACAGTATGGGTGCATGGCCGTCTGCCCACCCCATCCATTGCAGTAGTTATACCCATTAATTTGTAACCAACCAAAGGCCGTCGGTTTACGCCGGCAGCGCGGTGCTATTCTTGAGTGGATCACCGTTGCTTGGATCTACGTAGAACGTTAGACGAGGCGACGATCTCCGTCTCGACCTCCCGCCCTAGGTCGCCGCAGAAGCGTGCGACCCGAAAGCGATTTATGGTTCACGGCAAAACGGTCCGAAAACACGTTGTTGTCGGTCTAGTCAATCAAGGGAGGAGAGAACAGGCGTGCACTGCCGTCTGTCGATGCGCAACACCGCAGCAGGCCAAACCACATGCACCTCCAACCTTTACACACAGGGGGCGCCCGGACACGACTTTCGCGCTTGCTCCTCCCAATATACCCGCAAATTCTTCTCCGAGAACGCTGGTTTTGTCCGTCCTCAACCCTGTTGTTTGCCTTCTCACGCAGACAACGTACCACCGGCTGTCCGTGCACGACGGGGCGATCCTGACGGGAGAGCTGCAGTACAAGCCTTCCCTGAGAGACGAGACCGCCGTGCCTCCGCCGCCGGCCGACAACGGCGAAGCAGAGCCAGCAACAAAGACCGCTGTCGAGGTGAGCACTTGATGGTATGCATACCGTCTTTTTTTTTCTTCTCCGGCTGCGGTTTGTGTGTGCTGCCGCTCTCATTGTTCTCGAACCGTTCCGATCCTCATCGGCTGCTCTCGGCCTCAATGGTGTCCGGTAGTTTTTAGGACGCGACTGGCTTTCCATATATCGCGCACTCACCAATGTAAATTGCCTACATGCCACGCGGGCACCCAAGAGGCGTGACGTTGAAACATGACGGAAGGCTCAGTTTTGCCGCAAATGAACATGCCCTTCTGCTGCTACTGCTGCTGCTACTGCTGCTGTTGCTGCTTCTGTGCGCGCGTGTGTTTCGCAGGGCGCGGTGCCTCTTGAGGCGACGAGCGATTCCGCATCGACGGTGGCAAGCGAGACTTGCCCTGAGAAGGCAACAGCCGTGACCAAGAGTCCTTCGAAACAGTGACAAGCTTTCGAGATTGCGGGCATGTGTTCACGCGCGAACACCGTAGGAAGGAGCTCCCGCCCCATTTCATCCGCCAGTCCAAGAATGCCAGGATTGTGGAGTGGGAGAGGGCGTGGGAAGGCTGTTTATCTCAGGGCGGCAGAAGGTATCTTCGTCTCCTGCATGCGAAAAACAGAACTCCCTTTTCGAGGATATGGTACATGCTGACGACAGGGAAGGGTGGGGGCAGGAGGTATCGCTACGATTGGGCACGCGCCGGGAGGTGGAGAGCAGCTACACTTTTTATCCGGGTACCTGCGGTGCATTGGGGCGTGTGTAAGAGGCGCTGGGCTATGCATGGCGACGGGCTCTGTGGCTCATGCGTTTTTGGTTCCTCCCCTTCTCAACGAATAGCGGGTTATGTTTTGTGTCTTGAGCATGTCATCGTGTA